ACAAGTAGTACTGAAGTGGTTTCCGAACAAAACTAAAGATGACTGAGGTAATATTAGCCAGCTTTGAAGGATGTGAAGCTGAATGAGCATCGGGAACCACAAATTAGACCGGGAACTGGACACCAGCAATTTATGCAGATTTATTGAATCGTTGGTTGGTGAAGAACACATATTAATATATAATCCGGTCTGTGCAAGTAAAACAGTACGCGGACGGTGTTGACTGATACAGAACCGACTACAACAGATTACAAGTTCGGGACGTCGTCTCACCTTCCTTGTCAATTTTTCCTCTGACTGAATTCTTATCTCGTAAGTCTACGGTGGTCACTTCCTCTGTACGTTTTAGTGAGACCTTTTTCGATCTATTTCGGCTGTTCTCATCCAAAGTTGCCGTGGACATAATGGCCTTTGGTGCATGATATTCCTTCTTACGCTCACGTGGTTTTTTTGTCTTTGTTTTCCGTTGAATTGAAGGAATCTGATAGTCCGTGTATTTTCGACCCTGAGAACGAAGAATTCGATAGATTCCAGTCAAACTATTTTTCGGCCCGTCTAGCAATGCTCGATCCAATTCCCAATTTTGCACCTTCCACCATCGATCGAGGATTTCTCGAGCGGTCTGATCATCAACTTGATCGGGCATTGGCTTGGAATCTCTCGTCTGCTCAGACCAGTCTGTTCCAGCAAACCACGGTGATCGTTGGGTCTGGGTGATGGAGAAACGTGCGTCCACCGAGTGAGTCAACAAACCTTTTATGAGATCTTTGCAATGAGTGGAAATAAATGTTGGATATTCCACTCGACCATCGAGAATTAGGCGTTTGATTTTCGCTATGGAATCTCCACGAAAAGGTAAGTTACCGACTGACATGTAGTAAATCAGCACACCTAGCGCCCACAAATCAACAGCCGGACCTACATAAGAATCTGCCACGAACAATTCAGGAGCGGCGTACGGTGGGGATCCGCAGAATGTTGTCAGTGCATCTGTGGGACTGACAAATTTGGAAAACCCGAAATCTCCAACTTTCACGTACGTGGAAGTTATGAACAGAACGTTTTCAGCTTTCAGATCCCGATGAACCACGCTGTTATTATGCTTAAAGAAAAATGGGAAATATGAACTGATTTATTGCCACGGAATAGACAAAAAATAAGACTGCAATGACCACAGATAAAAGCAAACTAAAATAGTTTCATTACATTCCTTGATTCCTATCAGTTCACTTCAAAAAGAAGAGTTCAGGTGCAGGGGTAACCTTGTTTGAACCGAGTGGCGAGTACATATGTTACTGAATATCGTGGTGGTGGTGGCGGTGGTGATGGTGGTGAGGTGGGCATGGCTATGATCACAGCCACACGAAGGTTTTGCGTTCGGAACCCATCACTAGCGCACACATTCTCCGTATATATGTGTGTTCTCAGGGTGTTCAAATGGGCTATAGCCCTCTTCCGAAAACCGGACTGTATAAATCACCGTTTATGAAAAAGGTAAGAGATTATTAAACTAATATTATTTGTATCAAGCCACGTGTACAAATCTGAATGATTCAAATGTTGTTTTATAGATCATCTGTAGTTGGACCGGATTTTACATTTACCTTCGCCTTCTCCAACTGGATTCATTAGCAACTGAACATGAAGCCAGGTCATTAAATTCCGTACCATGTCGTTTGGACTCTTCCGTTCTGTACGATTGGAAAGCCCACTCCAAACCGGAAACAAACAAAAAGCCCTTTTCAATCACGTGACCGCCGGACAGGTTAACACACCTTTGTTGTTTTTGCTATTGATGAGGATGATGATGACGATGGTGATGATGATTTGCATCACTAACATAATCATCCTCAACTGAAATGCAACCTACAGTTCGATTTGCAATCACTGACTGTGACCATACACGGTTTGATCATCTCATCAGGGCTTTTCTAGTGCTTTAGGCCTTTGTGTGACAAGATTGTAGATGATACATCGCTTTTGTTTGGTAGATTGTGAACGTGATTAATGGAGCATGATTAAATCATCTTAACTCTAACTCGTTTACTTGCTGCCTTTCTTATGCGCACCGATAAGCTGAGATCATACGGGGATGATATTAGTGATTTGAGATAGCCTGCGAAGTATGAGATTGTTTGATTTACTGTCATAAATGATGCGAGAGTTGATCAACTCCCATCGACTCAAAGATTTTTTCTTAATTGTTAAACATTTTCTCAGTGTGTATCACCCAGATCGCGCACTAAATAATTCTGTTATCCTTAACTAATGTAAGTGTTATAAAGGGGACAAGTTAATCTGAGACGGCTGGAAGGCATGAAACCTTGGAGGTGGGTCGTAATGCCCCAATTCGGATTACTAATTCTTGTAATTCTCGCTTTGTTTCTGCATCAACGAGAAATTCTCAAATCTCTACACCTTACTTACGATTCAGGCCATTATAACCGGAAAGGAGATTACAAACCTGTTGAAATCTTGGAAAAGGACAAAAAGGGGAGCTTGGATTGCACATATTTTAAATCATCTGTTCTACCTTTTCCCTTGTTATTTTTATTCTCAGACGAATAGTAGTAACAAAATAGACATGTTTCTGTGAGTACCGTGAACGACCGTATTTTGAACAACACCTAGCAAGCAGTACGGTCACTTCCAGGAGATGAACGCATATGACGGTGAGTCGCATCCTAATCACACACCCACACGCA